TCCCGATGACGAGGATGTTGATGATGATGTTGATGATGGTGATGATGATGATGTTGATGATGATGGTGTCCCGAAGATGATGATGATGATGATGATGATGATGATGATGATGATGATGATGATGATGATGATGATGATGATGATGGTGATGGTGATGATGATGATGATGATGATGATTATGATTATGATGATGATGATGATGAAGAAGAAGAAGAAGATGATGATGATGATGATGATGCTGCTGATGACGTTGATGATGATGATGATGATGTCGATGATGATGATGATGATGATGATGATGATGATGATGATGATGATGATGATGATGATGATGATGATGATGATGATAATGGTGTCCCGATGTGAGACCGAATGTGAGACCGAATGTGAGACCGAATGTGAGATCGATAGCGAGATCGATTGAGTGAGACGTTGGTTCCCCCTCCCCCCTCACCTCCTTATCACCCGCAGGGTGGTCGTATAGGTATATGTATATATATATATATATGAGAGATGGATGAGAGAGGTAGAGAGAGAGAGAGAGAGAGAGAGAGATGCGTGAAAAACCACCGCCGCTTTACTGTGGAAAATTCCCCCCCCCCCCCCCCTCTTCCTACGGAACCCTGGGGTCCCCCCCCTCCCCGAAATCCTTCCACCCTCACCCTGCTGGAACACCGCTCCCCACGCTCCCTCCCCTTCACTCCGGCAAAGCCCCACCCCCTCCCCTAACCCCCCCAACCCCCCCCCCTCCCCTCCAGAACCGGGGTGTTGGGGGGGGGGGGGTGGTGGGGGGGGGGGGGGGGGGGGGTGGGGGATTGGGGGGTGGGGGTTGGGGTGGGGGGGGTCAACTTGTAACCGTTCGACCCCCCCCCCTTCGAAAACAGGGGGGGGTCACCGTTCGACACCCCCTTCTCTCTTCCCCCCCCCCCCCCCGCTGCCCCCAAGCAACCAGAGGAAGGGTCACTACCGTTTACGAACCCTCCCCCTCACCCCATACCAGAAAACCGAGGGGGGGTCACTACCTGGTTCGAACCCCCCCCCCCTCTCGAAAACTGGGAGGGGTCACTACCGGTTCGAACCCCCCCCCTCCCCCTCGAAAACCGGGAAGGTCACTACAGGTTCGAACCCCTCCTTTCAATCCTCCTCCTCCTCAGCATCATCCTTCTCCTAGTTTTATTAAAGTTATCACCACCACCATCATCACCATCCACCACCATCGCCACTACCGCCACCATCATCTCACACCCTCCTACTCATCACCATCACCAGCATCGTCATCGCCTCCCAACCATCATCATCATGATCATCCTCCTCATCATCATCATCATCAACATCATCGACATCATCACCATCATCGTCAACATCATCATCAACAACATCAACATCATCATCAGTAGAATCATCATCATCATCATCATCATCATCATCATCATCATGATCATCATCATCATCATCATCATCATCATCATCATCATCATCATCATCATCTCATCGTCATCAGCATCTTTGGTGATACGATTGTGAGCGGTGGGGGCGTGCTTGTCGCACGTGCACCCACCTTGCAAGGTGCCCAAAGGTGCCCGTCTATGGCTCGGTTAGTACTGGTTCGAACCCCTCCCCCCCGTCACCGCCAGCAAACGACTCCCGGTCCCTACCACCGTCCGCACCACATCCCCCACTGCTGTTCCCAGCACCACTGTCCTCACCACCACTGTCCCCACTGGTTCCACCACCGTCCCTACTGTCCCCACCAGTGCCCCCACCACTGTCGCACTGTTCCCACTGTCCCCACCACTGTTCCCACCAAGGTTCCACTCTCCCCACTTTCTCCACGGCCCCAACCACTGCCCGACTGTCCCCACTGTCCCCACTGTCACCACTGTCCCACTGTCTCCTCCGCTGTCCCACTGAGCTGTCCCACTGTTCCCACCACTGTCCCCACTGTCCCCACCACTGTCCCCACTGTACCTCTGTCCCATTGTCCCACCGCCGTCCTCGCCACCACCCTCACCACTGTCCCCACCACCACTGTACCCTCCACTGTCCCACTGTTTCCACCACATTCCCAATGTCCTCACACCACTATCCCCACCACCACCGTCCCCACCACTGTCCCACTGTCCCTGTTCCCACCATTGTCCCCGCTGTCCCCACCAGTGCCCCCACCAGAGTGTCAATGTCCCCATTCTCCCCACCATTGTCCCACCACGGTCCCACTCGCCCCACTTTCCCCACGGTCCCCACCACTGTGCCACTGTCCACACTGTACCCACTACTGTCCCAGTGTCCCCGCCGCTGTCCCACTGTGCTGTCCCATCGTCCCCACTGTCCCCATCACTGTCCCACTGGCCCCATTGTCCCCGCCACTTTCCCCACTGTGCTACTGCCCCACCACTGTGCTCACCACCGCCTTCACCACTGTCCCCACCACTACCGTCCCCACCACTGTCCCACTGTCCCCACCATTGTCCCGCTGTGACCTTAGATGGAGCTCCCTATGGGGCCACGAACCGTGTGAGGGGTGCGCCAAAATGGGGGGCGCCCCCATGCGAACTGCACCACTGGGACCGTAGGTGGAGCTCCCTATGGGGCCACGAACCGTGTGAGGGGTGCGCAAAAATGGGGCGGCGCCGCCATGCGAACTGCACCACAGGGACCTCAGATGGAGCTCCCTTTGGGGCCACGAACCGTGTGAGGGGTGTGCCAAAATGGGGCGGCGCCGCCATGCGAACTGCACCACTGGGACCTTAGATGGAGCTCCCCATGGGGCCACGAACCGTGTGAGGGGTGCGCAAAAATGGGGCGGCGCCGCCATGCGAACTGCACCACTGGGACCTTAGATGGAGCTCCCTATGGGGCCACGAACCGTGTGAGGGGTGCGCCAGAATGGGGCGGCGCCGCCATGCGAACTGCACCACTGGGACCTTGGGGGGGCTTCGTATGGGGGCACGAACCGTGTGAGGGGTGCGCCAAATTGAGGGTGACGAGAGGAGAGAGGAGGGGGAAGGAGGAGGAAGGAGGGGGAGGAGGAGGAGAGGAGGGACGCGGGCCACCGTCTCTTCAAATCGAGGACCCAACACCACAGCATGGTTGGGAAAAACATAGGTTTTTCAATATTTCACAACATGCTACCAAACGGGCGTCGCGCGCGCGCATGTCGAAATCTGTCGAACGCGCTTGCGCGTGTGCCGTCGCGAGAATCCTTTGCAAAACATGGGACGAAGTGCAGACGCGCGCGTCGTCGCGCGCGTATGCCGAAATCCTTCAAAACCCATCGGTTTCGGAAGGATTTCAAAATCGCGCGTCCAAACACCATAGAAAGAACATAAGGTTTCGCAACACGGATTTTCAACAAAAGCGTGCGCGCGCGCTCTTGCGGCGTCGTCGTCGTCGTCGTCGTCTTCGTCGTCGTCGTCGTCGTCGTCGGCGTCGGCGTCGTCCTCGTCCTCGTCGTCGACGTCGGCGTCGTCGTCGTCGCCGCCGTCGTCGTCGTCGTCGTCGTCGGCGTCGGTGTCGTCGTCGTCGTGGTCGTCGGTGTCGTCGTTGTCGTCGTCGTCGGCGTCGTCATCGTCGTCGACGTTGTCATCATCGTCGTCGTCGTCGTCGGCGTCGGCGTCGTCGTCGTCGTCGTCGGTGTCGTCGTCGGCGTCGTCGTCGTCGTCGTTGTCGGCGTCGTCGAAGTCGTTGGAGACGTCGTCGGTGTCGTCGTACTCGTTGTCGGTGTCGTCGTCGTCGTTGTCGCTGTCGTCGTCGGCGTCGCTGTCGTTGCCAAGTGCCATTTGGTACCCACCGTCACTGTCTTAAGAGATTTTGCAAACCAAGTTGCGGGTGGGTGGGTGGGATGTGGAGTGGACAACTCATTGCGAACAGAAATTAATTGCAACACGTAGGATGTGCCACATATATTGCAGCAAGTAAAGTTTCCTTTTCTGTGAAAGATTTAGGTTCTACCGCCACCACCACCACCCACTGTTATCGGTCCACCATCGGGATGTTCAGTTCACACATTGTTCTGCCATGTGGTTCATGATCATTCGGAATTCAGATCATCGCAACCGAACGGTACCGACCTCTTTTCGTCCTCGTCAGTTAGCTCCATGCGCGCACTAGTTTACCGTAGCTCACCAGTTTGCAAATTACACTTGCAACATATGGGGCGGATTTCACGCGCGCGTCGTTGCGCGGATGCCGGCGGCTCCCGAACGCCAACGAATGCATGGGTCCGCAACGTCTACGCGCGTTTTTGCATTTTCTGTAAATGGAATTGTTCCCCAACGTTTTCATGACGTGCGACCAATGGGGTCCCTTCGCGCGCGCATGTCAACATCATTCGGGCGCCGTTGCGCGCATGTTGGGACGGGGGGGCGATCTTTGTCAAACCATGCCATGCGGGTCCTTCGCGCCCGTCGGCCGCGCGCGCATGTCGAAGTCCCAAGCACATGCTTCATCAGTGCCACGAGGACACCATCATCGTCATCGGGGTCATCCGCATCGGCGTTGTTTTTGGCCTTGCCGTCGTTATCGTCATCATTCACCAACATCGTTACCATCATCATCGTGCCTGCTGTTGTCGACGTTCCATGATATTGCGCCCGCCCGATTCACCGACCCGCACTGAAGTGCTCGCGCGTCAACGAGGCCTGCGAGACGCGTTGGGGAACCTTTAGCGGGCAGTGCCACCGCGGCCGCATATCGGTCGCGCCAGACCAGCTGGCCGTTGTGTTCGCGAGCCTGCTTGCGCCAACGCGGCCGCAGCGATGCGCCACCCAGCGCCAAGCCGTCATCACAGTCGCCGCCGCGTGGGTTTTGCAAACCAAGTTGCAGGTGGGTGGGTGGGATGAGTGCGCGAGTTGTCAACTTCAATTTCGGCATGGCGACTTGCACCACGTAAATTGCACCACGCTGATTTCGACAAGCGCGCTGGTTTGGGTACGCGCTGGCGAACATGCAATTGTTTATCCCCTTCGCGCCCTGACGTCGGCCAGCGGTTTCCGCCGGAGGCGCTGGCCAAGGTGTGCGGGGGCTACGGCGCCTTGTGTGGCGGGGAGTCCGGGGACGCGCTGACGCTGCTCACAGGCCGCCCGCTCCAGAGGAGAGGTAGGACCAGACAAGCAATGTACGCCTTGCTTTGGGAGAAATAGCGCGCGGCGTGGCGCCGCCAGCCCGCTTATTGCACGTTGCCCGGGACAGCGTGCACCAACGACGCCCTGGCAAGAGGGTTGCGTGCCCAGAGGTGGTCCTCGCGCGGGGATCGCCTCACAGAGGTAGCGTGCTTTTCGGAGATAGATGTTGCACGTTAGCTATCTTTCCAACGCCAGCCATATACCGATTCGCTATCCTTTCTTCGACATATTGGTCGGAACGCACCCGTGGATAGGTCCAGAGAGTAGCGGTATCGGTTCCCGCTGGCCCAGAGGGAGGGTGGATGGGGGAGGGAGCGCGGGGGGGAATGAGGTGGTCGAGAGGGTCGAGGAGGAGGGTGGGGCGACGATGACGACGATGACGACGAAATGACCCTGACGACGACTATGACGACGAGAATCAGGAACATGACGGCGGCTATGATTCTGCTGCTGATGATGAGGATAGACGATGATGTTGCTGCTGATCATGGTGGTGACGCTGTCGACGATGATGACGGGGACGACGATGGTGCTCAGGGTTTTCCCCACTTATGTCTTAGCGTCAATGAGTTCTACCTGATCGTAAGGATTGCGTGTTCCGACCCTTCTGCTGGCTGTTAATGTGGCTGCTGCCATGTCGACGCTGGTTTGTATTTGATGTAGCTGCTGTCCGAGGCCTCCGCAAGCCCTGTGGGCCAGTTGTGGGCCGGGCGCCCTGGCCTTCGGAAAATGGCGCCCCTTACCGTCACGAGGACGGCTCTCCTCCCGTTGCACCCCAGCCTGCTGCCCGCTCTGTGGGTCAGTTGTGGGCCGGGCGCCCTGGATTCCCAAGCTGGTCATGGCGTCCCTCCCGGGGTGCCCGAGCCTCCTGCTGTGGGCCAGGTGTGGGCCGGGCGCCCTGGGCCTCCGCACAGTTCCAGCCGTGACGAGGGTGGCGCGCACACGACGGGCTCGAGCCCTCTGCCGGCTCCGTGGGCCTGTTGTCTTCGGGACGCCGGGGCCTTCTGTGGGAAGTGGTGGCCCTAGCGAGGAAGGGTGGCGCCCCCTCCGACGGGCCCGAGGCCTTTGTCAGCGACGCGCAGAGGGGGGTGGGGGGAGGGGGGAAGGCTTCTTGGAAGCACCCCTGCTTCTTAGAAGGCGCGGGCCTTGTCTATAGATATAAGGCCGGCGCCTTCTAAGAAGCAGCCTCTTTCTAAGAAGCCCTCCCCCCTCCCTCCACCCCCTTGTGCGCGCCGCCAAGCCTTTGCCGGCTCTGTGGGCCAGTTGTGGGCCTGGCGCCTTGGCCCTCGGAACATGGCGGCCCCAGCGAGGATAGCGCTCCTTTGGGTGCTCTGGCGAGGCCTCTGTCGGCTCTGTAGGCCAGTTGTGGGCTGGGTGCCGTGGCCTTCGAAAGGCGGGGCGGTGACCATCACGGGGATGGCGCCGCCCCTCCGACGTGCCCGAGGCCTCTGCCGGCCCTGTGGGCCAATTTGCTCTTGAGGGCATTACATGATAATCGTGCCTGCGTGTTTGAGGTCGACGTTGGGCCAGTTTGAAAACGAGGATTACGACGAGGAGGATGCAGACACCTGCGCACTTTCATTGGTAGTCTTTGTTCAAGATGAACCAGAGACCTCGGACGAAGCGGTCTGAACCATGAGCAGGGCGGTATCCAGAGGCACCTTGCCATGATGGGATTGAGTAAGTTTGGTTTTTGTTGAGAACGTGAGGGAGCTGAGAGCGTGGTGGTGGTGGTGGTCAGGTGGGGGTGGTGGTGGTAGTGGTGGTGGGTGGCTGGGTGGGGCTGGGAGACAGTAGACAGGGGGAAGGGGAAGCTGGAAGATCCGGGTGGACGCGCGGACGCAATGTCAAGGAGGGAAGGCAAGGCATGGTCGCCCCCTTCCACCCCCCATGGGAAGGGGGGGGATCAGGCGGCGGCGCATGGGAAGCATCACAGGCGAGAGCGCTTCGTCTTTGGCGGAACAAAAATTGGCAACGAACAACAACAAAAAACATAAATTTCGGAGGTCCTTGCGGATTTCTTGGATCCGTGCTGGACCCTTTCCCTGGCGCGCAGACCGCGACAGGGGCATCGCTGGAGGCGCCGACAGGGGGCCCCAGCGCCGATCCGAGAAATCCGTGCGGACATCCGACTTGTTATGTTTATATACCATTTTTCGCCCCCCGAAGATTAAGTCGGGCATGGCCCTCTACAGGGGGAATATCCAGAAAGAGTACAGCAATAGTCGGTGGACGATTTGTTGAGGACTTGCTCGTCTATTTGGAGGGTTTTTTTTTCTAGTACTGTTAAGTCTTCGCCCAAGCTCCAGCTGTACCTGGCATCCCTCGGACGTGTGCATGTTTCCTTCGGCGAGGACCATCGAGGAGCATCCTTGATCATTCGGCGAAACAAAAACACGCAAGACACAACACAAAAAACAGGGAATGGACGTCCGAGCGATGGCCAGCGTAGGGGACACCCCGCCCGGTGGGATCCCCCGGGCCTGCGGCAGCCCCTGCGGCGTGAGCTGGGCACGCACGGCCGCGGCGCCGGTGGTCCGTGGGACGTGCACGCCGGGGGCAAGAGGGCCCCTACAGACAGGAAGGAGGAGGAGGAGGAGGCGGAGGAGGCGGAGGAGGAGGAGGAGGAGGAGGAGGATGAGGAGGAGGAGGAGGAGGACGAGCGTAGGGGGGACATGCCCGACCGGACCCCAATTGGAAGACCCACGCGCAGTGCCCTCGGGCGCCCGGCGCCCTGCCCCCGAGGCTGGCCCTGCGAGATCGTCCGCCTGGGCGAGGGCGCGGACCTCGAGGAGGTCTGGGCCAGGCTGCGGTCGGCGAGGGAGGCCAGAGCACCCCCTCCCTCCCCCAAGATAGAGGAGGAGGAGGAGGAGGAGGGGGAGGAGGAGGAGGGGGAGGAGGAGGAGGAGGAGGAGGAGGAGGAGGAGGAGGAGGAGGAGGAGGAGGCGGAGGCGGAGGCGGAGGAGGAGGCGGAGGAGGAGGAGGAGGAGGGGGAGGAGGAGGAGGCGGAGGAGGAGGAGGGCAGCGCCGCCGCCTGCACTGCCGCGCAGGAGGGGAGGGGGGGGCGCGGCCCAGGGAGGTGGAGGCACGGGGCTGGGATCGGCCGAGCCATGGCGCCATCATGCCGCGGGGGCGCGGGGGTTCGCCGAGAGAGGGGTTCGGCAGCAAGTCGTGGGAGCCTGGCATCAGCTCTCAGCGCCGTCCCTGGCGTCGGCTCGCGTCGATGTGCGTGAGGGAGTCGATGAGAGAGCGCCGATGTAGCGTCGGCCAGCGTCGTTTTGCCGTCGATTTGGCGTCGATCGGCGTCGACTAGCGTCGATGAGCGTCGATTCGATTCGCAGGAGCCGACAAGATGGTATGGGAGGCTCCCATGAGTTGCCACAGAAGAGGGGGGAGAGGCCAACAACTCAACGAGTTGGCACCGAATGTGTAAACACTTGCGATGGTTTTTTTTCTGGAGGTAATTTTTTAGATTTGGGGCTTACTTGGAAGGACCGAAAACGCCCGCGCTACAGGGGGAGCTCGTGTTGGAACAACCCGAGGCGCACAAATGGGACCAGCGCTGCAGCGGGAGCAACATTTTTAGAGGACCGAAAATAATTGGATTACCAGATCACATCTGGAAACTAGGAAGTCAGGCTAGCGCTGTAGCGGGAGCACGATTCGGAACGGGCGGAGGCGCGGAAATGATGCCAGCGCTGCAGCGGGAACACGATTCTCAACGAGTGGAAGCCCGGAGATGAGGCCAGTGCTTCAGCGGGAGCAACATCTTGAAACAAAAGCCATGCGAAAATCCAGTTCCCGCGAATCCTGCGTGTAAACAAGCAGTACGCGGAGGGGGGCCGGATATCTTCCGGACGTCATCAGGGGAGAGAGGAGAGTAGGTATCCATATGGTGTAGTTGTGGAGGAGGGAGGGGGGATGGGGAGGGGGGAGGGGAGGGGCAGGGGTGGAGGAGAGAGTGCAACCCCTCGGACCGCGTGTCGGTCCCGGTCCTTCCGGGCTGCGGGCGCCCGGCAGGCTGTCTTCGCAACAACTGGAACAGGGGTGGTTCGGAGGCCCAGATCGGGTTGACCCAAAAATCGGGCCGGACGAAAGGGGGGGATTGGGAAAGGGGGGGGTTATGAAATCTGCTGCGTGCAGCTGGTTTCGGCCTCACCGAGGGGCCCATTTCTCGATACATGGGCGCCTCCCGGCGCCAGGAGGCGCCGGGAAAATCAGCTACGTGAGCTGATTCTCAAACCCCCCCTTTGCTATCCCCCCCTTTCGCCCGACCCGACATAAGGGGGTTCAGCGACAAGGGGGTGGTGCAGTAGATGGTGGGTCTCCCAAGCCAGAGGTTGACACCAACACCAAGATCGGCGGTGTGCCTCCACTGGGGGAGGTGCTCCCGATCTCGGTTGTGGTGGTCAGATTCGGGCTCCCAAGGTGGCCGAGCGATTGCAACTAACACCAAAATCTAGGACCATCTTACCCCTGTGGAGGCGACCCCCTGTGTTGGTGTTGGTGTCCATTTCCAGGCTTCTAAGCGGTGGGTTGACGTCGTCCACCCTGGCGCGGTCACGGGGACCCCGTCTGGGAAGGAGGGACCAGCGGTGGTGATCAGGCTGCTATACGAGGCCAGTCTGCGCCCCCGTGGTTAAATCAGGCATGTCCCTTTGCAGGACGAATATTCAAGAATCGTCAAACATAGTCTGGGACGTTTTTTTGGCTTGTTTGTTTTTTGTTGCCTTCTTCCGAAATCCGCCTGTAGGAGGACATGCCCGACCTCACCCTTGGGGGAGCGGGGCGGAGGAGGGGGGCAATCTGGCACTCTCTCGTCGTGTCTGAGGTCGTACCCCCTCCCTCGAAGAGTAACAACACGCCATAAACACAAACTTTTTGGCGCTCCGCGCGGATTGGACGAGGTGGAGGAGGCGGAGGAGGAGAAGGAGGAGGAGGACAAGGAGCAGGAGGAGGAGGAGGAGGAGGAGGAGGAGGAGGAGGAGGAGGGCCTCCTCCCTGGGCGAGGCCGGCTTCCTCATGACGTGCTCAACGATGGACGCTGGGGCGCCGTCGCTGCTGCCGAACCACGTCTACGCGCTGCTGGACGTCTGCGACCTGGGCACGGCGGCTCGGGGCCTGTGTCTCTCCCGACCCACGGGTCTTCTCGGCCACGCGCAAGAAGTGGCCCTGTGCCGGAGTGACCGTTGGTGCTCCAGGCCTCCCAGGTGGGGTCCGAGCAGAATGGGGTCGGAGGTACTGGGCAACTTTTCCACCGCCACTCCCACTTGCAGGACAGGGGAGACGGGAGGATGAAGAGGTCCTTCTCCTCCTCCTCCTCCTCCTCCTCTCTCCTCCTCCTCCCTCCCACCTCCTCCCAATCATCCTCCTCCCATCTCCTCCTCTCCTCATCCTCCTCTTCTCCTCTCCCTCCTCCTCCTCCCTATCCTCCTCCTCCTCCTCCTCGTCCTCCTCCTCCTCCTCCTCTTCCGTCTCCTACCCATGGTTGCGGTGGTGGAAAATGTGCCCAGCAGGAGGATCGCGCAGCATCGCCAGTGCAACGGCGGCGCGTCTCGACGCGGAGCCCGACTTTCCCTTGCGCCGACGTCGGCTAGGCATCGCCGGTGCGTCGCCGATGCATCACCGACGCATTGGCGATGTGGCGCGATCCTCCGACCCGGGGGCTCCCTGGCCACTTGCAGATTTGGTATTCTCGCTGTCGATGCTCTGCTCTTCCAGGGCTCTGCAGCGTCCTCCGCACCCTGCTTCTGCGCGTCCGCGCTCCGTAGCTGCTCTGCTCTGCCGTCCTGTGCCCAGCTGCGTTCCTGCTCTCGTGGACACTGCGCAGGCCTGGCGAAAGCTCGAGAGGTCCCTTTCAATGCGTGCTCGGGCCCCATCCAGGATGCTTCCAGGCCTCGAGGTGTTCGGCCCTCAGGAACGGGGGGGGGCAATCCCGAGCGCGCAGGCCGCCACGGTCTCGTCGCAAGCGGCAGTCGGCAAGCCGCGCGCACCAGAGGTCGCTCTCGCCAAGGGTCACTCGTTGCGTGTAGCCGACTCTCTACACGTCACACGTCCCCTTCACCCCTGCAGGGCTCGTTTTGATTCCTCCGATTCAATTCGATCCCGACTCGGCCGCCGATTTCCGCCGATCCAATGTATTTCGATTGCCGATCCGACTTGTCGATTCGACTCTGGGGGCGCCTGCCCCTACCGTGATGGTGAATTTAAGTGCTTGTAGGTTTTCAACATTTCGTCGCTGCAGCGGGTAGTGCGCGCGCTGCGATGTGCTGGTCGGCGCGCAGAGGGCGTGCGCTGTTGCGGTATGTTCGGGCTCTAATCTGCAGCAGAGGGCATGCGCTTCGGCTAGGGGCGCCGCCACGCCGAGATTCTTAAGACGAAGCGTGCAGAAAGCCACGAGGAGGAGGAGGAGGAGGAGGAGGACGAGGTGGAGAAGGAGGAGGGAGGAGGAGGAGGAGGAGGAGGAGGAGGAGGAGGGGGAGGAGGGGAGGGGGAGGAGGAGGAGGGTGGGGGATGATGATGGATGGATGATGATGATGATGATGTGATGATGATGTGATGATGATGATGATGCTGATGATGATGATATGATGATGATGATGATGATGCTTTGATGATGATGAAGATGATGATGTGACTGATGATGATGGTGATGGTGATATGATGATGATGTGTGATGATGATGTGATGATGCTGATGATGATGATGATGAGATGATGATGATGATGATGTGTGAAGCTGATGATGATCATGATGTGACGATGGATGATGATGATGATGATGAGGTCTGAGGAAGGGGATGGGCATGAGGCATGAGGGATGAGGAATGAGGATGGTGATGAGGATGAGGTTGAGGATTGAGGATGAGGATGAGGATGGGAAGAGGATGAGGATGAGGTAATGAGGATGAGGATGAGGATGAGGATGAGGATGAGGAATGAGGATGATGATGATGATGATGTTGCTGATGATTGATGATGATGATGATGACGACGCGACGATGATGATGCTGATGATGATGATGATGATGATGATGATGATGATGCTGAGGATGATGAAGATGATTGATGACTGATGATGATGATGGATGTGTTGATGATGAGGAGGAGGAGGAGAGGAGGAGGAGGAGGATGAGGTATGAGGATGGGTTGAGGATGAGGAGGGGGGGGGAGGAGGAGGGGAGGAGGGAGGATGAGGATGAGGAAAGAGGATGAGGATGAGGATGTGGATGAGGAGGAGGAGGAGGAGGAGGAGGAGGAGGAGGGAGGTCCCCCTGCGGTCTGTTTCCGCTACGAAAGCAGCCTGGCTCCTCCCCCCCGCTCCGCTTCTGATCGAGAAGGCGAGCGGTCATCCAGCTGAGGAGCGCTTGCGTGCCAGACCCCAGAGCGTTCGGCTGTGTTTCATGCGGTGCTTCCTTCGTCGCGCAGAGGTTTTCTGTCGCGTCTCTATCCAATCCTACCATTCCTCATATCCCCTCTCTCCCCACCCCTTCCACCGCCAAAAAGCGCTCAACAATTCCGCGATGGTCCTCCTCCTCCTCTCGCCTTCCTCCTCCTCCTCCTCCTCCTCCTCCCCCTCCTCCTCTTCCTCCTCCTCGTGCCGTGGCAGTGTTCAAAAATTTATCGCCGTGCGGCCTGGGATCTCATCTTTTCGGGCCTCTAGTAGGGCCAGCACAATCGGTCCCGAGAGGGGAGCTTCAGGCTTTCGCATGGTGCATTCGCTTCTCCCTAGTCCCTGTCGTGTTTATTACTGACTGCGCCGAGGCCGCCAGGGGGTGGTATGCAGGCGCCTCCCAGAGCCCTTCCGGCCCTAAGGCGGATTTGTGGCGTAGTATCGGGACCACCCTCGAAGAACAAGGGCGCATATCGGCGATGTATCAGTGATTCAAATCCCGTCCCACCTCACGGCGCAGGAAGTCGTCGAGCAGGGGTGGGTCAGCTGGCTCATCCAAGGTAACGTGTGTTTAGATGTGTTAGCAGGAGCTGCGGCCGATAAGGCCAGAGTTCCCGAAGTCGACAAATATAATGTGCACAGAGTTGAGCGCAAGGCTCGGTTGGTTAGGAGGCGGCTTCTCAGAGTAGGGTTAGAATCCACTGTTGCTGCTCAAGGGTCCAAGGAAGCCCTGGGATCCCCTAAAGCTCCGAGGCCTCTGCCACCCAAGGCCCTTGCACGATTTGCGACTGCCCACACCCTGACCGAAAATGGCAGAGCGTGTTCGGTGTGCTTCAGTTCGACCTCGAAGCATAAGGAGTCCGAATGGCTAAAAAGCGAGTGCGTGCCCCCGCTCCCAGTATATGCGAAATTATCCCGAGCCCCCGTTGGACGAAGTTTACACTTGGCTGGTGGCTGGACGCACCCCTCACACGCCCTTCGGTTTCACAAAGACCTTGAAATATGGTTTTGTGGGGCTTGCGGATTTTTCGGTCAGGCCCAGATCAGGGGCTTAGGTAATCCCTGTCAACCTCACTTAATCACTAAGGCCAGGCGCGAGTATCTCGATAGGATCGATCGCGACCTGTTTCCCAAATGCTGAGCTTAGCCTGGTTATCACACGTGATGGCGGAAATCCTGGAAATTCCCCTCCCCCTCCCCTTCCACCTCCTCCCCCTCCTCCTCCGGGACCGGGCCCCGAACCCAGGCCAGGCCTGGGGAGAAACCCGGCGCCAGAGCCGCGGCCGACACGGCCGAACCCGGAAACGGAAACTCTCTTCCACCTGGCTTTTGTTTCCGCCCCTCCCGCTCCTTCTCCCCAGCCACTCGTCCGCCCTTTCTCGGAATCTGGAATATATACATTACCAGTGGCGGCCTGTTTTTTCAATCCCAGGGCTTTTTGAGGGTCGGGGACGACGCTGGGTTGGTGTGGTGTATACTTTTGTCCCCGATGTCCCTGGGAAGCAACGAACAAATGTACACACCAGGGTCCCGTATACACCAGGATCCGCTCTCCAGTGCAAATTTCAATGCAGGGCCGGAAAAAGCGTCGGTGTCTAGAGTTCGATTCCCTACTTCCTGCTCTTTCGGGGCGGCTCCTGGGAGGACGCCGAGGCTCTGGGCCTCCCGGTTCCGGGCCTCCCTCCTAACAGGTCCTTCTGGCCGCCCTGCCGGTGCGTCCCGCTTCGCGGGCCGGTGTCCCTGGTCCGCCTTCGCTTTCCTGGGTTTTGAGCCTCGCGCCGTCCAGGCCCAGCCTGCTGTTTGGGGGTGCGTTGGTTTCGATACCAGGGGTGGACCTAAACGGTGTTTTGGCGATGTCGTGGGCCGTTTTCGTTTCGATTTCGTTTTGCGTTCAAGGCGGATTGAAGACAAAACGAGGGACAACGAAAGCAACACGAGAACGAAAAACACCGCTTAGGTTCAGCCCTGCTCGATACGTGAAAAATTCTCGTCGGTCGAGTGGAGCCCCTAAGATCTGACACTGCGTACCGGCGGCAGCCTAGTAGCAGACACACACACACACAACACAACACAACACAACACAACACAACACAACACAACACAACACAACACAGCGCAACGCAACGCAACGCAACACACACACACACCCACACCCGAATCAGCCGCTCTCCCTCTCCCTCTCCCTCTCCCTCTCTCCCTCTGCCTCTCCCCCCCTCCTTCCCCTCCCCCTCCCCCTCCCCTCCCCCTTGTTAATGCCCCCACACGTTGTGTCTCCCCTCCTTCCCTTCATTGTCTTCCGCTGGCCTTCCCTCACCCGTTCGTGCCTCCAGTTCCTTCCTTTCCCCGTCGTCCTTCCTCGAGAAGGGGGAAGACGATGATGAT